CCCCCCCCCCCCCCCCGGGGGGGGGCCTCAATTTCCCTCCCTGCTGACTTACCTGCGGGAGCTTCTCTCCAAGGCTGCCTGGTGGCCACGTGCACATGTACATACCCGTAGCACCCCTTGCCTGACCTCTCTCCTCTTGCTCCCCCCAGCCCCTTGCAGGTTGGAAATCTGCCAACCTGCAAGGGGAAACACACTGTTTCCCACATTTTTATCCTTTTAAGGGAGAAAATCCATGTTTTTCCTCCTTAAAATTAGAAAATCCGGGTTTTACTGTGTTTTTTGTGTCATGAACAGCAAACCTGGATCCCTGATGATCTGTAAGCGTATCATAATGAAAACAATAAATATGTGCAAAACAAACCTGCTTTGTCAAAGAAAGAAAGCTTAAGCTGTAGTGAACTCATTACTAGGTATTACAGAAGAAGGCATCTTTGGTGTTCTTCAACCAGCTTTTTCTTTTCAGGTTTCTTTAAACAAATGTTCCAATATTCTGAAGAATTCAGGAATCGTTCACTGTTAAAAATGTGGGTAGGACCATTCCCTCATTTGTTACTGTATCACTCTGACACTGTGGAGGTAAATATGCCTAGCTCATTTTCTAGAGACCTGATTCTGCTAGTCATGCATTTGGAGCATAAAGCACGTTTTACATTTCCTCAATGTAATATCTACCATAGGGCTATAAAATATTTGAACTGATACTCTTTCACAGTTCAGGAGCAACAGTCCATGAGCCATTAGGGCTGAGGGCCCAACGTAAAGACCAAATAGCCAGTATTAAATTATAAGACCTGCCTTTCATTATATTTTTTTTATTCATTTCATATTAATTAATAAGAATGCCTTATTTATTTCACTTCCCTGTGTATGTAGTAAGTACTGCTGTTGACCTCTGTGGTTATTCATGCACATTAATAGATCATCAGTACCCTGTAAAATATAAACTGTAATTTGTAATAATCTTATTTCACTTTTCTAAACATTCCTGGTTTCTCTTTGTTTGAATCAGAAAATACGGGCACATTCAGCCATCTTATTAACCATGACAGTTATTCTTTGACTTAAAATGTGAAGAGTTGACAGTAAACATAGATAATGTTTGTCCATAAAGCGCTGATAACAGTGATCAATATTTCTTGCTGGGGCAAGAGCTCACTCTGCAGCAATCCTCCCTACCTCCTTTGGGTGGGTACACTTCAGCTCTGTGTACTCAGGAGCAAAGGTTCTGTATGTGTGCCACTTTTGCCTTCCAAGGGAAAATTCAGGTAAGGGAGGAAAGCACAATACTTTTCGTAGGGAAAATTCAGGCATAATTCCCTTGAGTGTTCTCAGTGCAGAGTTGCAGCATGAGGAATAGCATGCAGTCTCATCTTAATTTGGAAGTAAAGGTGACATTCCAGTTTTTGTTTCTTTGCATTGATTAAAAATATTTCTGTGGTTCAACATTGAGATGATTATTTTATTTAAGAAACACCAAAACAAGACATTTTTGATAATTGTAACTATCTGCTTGTTGTAACAATCCTATAAACTGACATTGTTTTGCAAAGCATTTTGATTTTGATACAAAGTGGTTCCCTCAATTTTTCCAATCAGTTATATTGGAACATAAGAATTACTATTTACTGGGCAAGACTATATGTCCATCTAGAGCAGTATCCTGTTTTATATACTGGCAGGGGGTGAATGCTGAGGGGGTGGGATTAACAGGATGTGTCCGGAATCTTGTACCCCTGCTCCTCTCCCATTGCATCTTTTAACAATCGGAGGTTTAGGATATTCATATCTGAGACAACACCCCTTCTCTACCATGCTCAGTACCTCCACAAATCTGTCTAATCCCCTTTTGAACTGGGATAGGCAATCAGGCTCCACAACATCATGTGGCAATGAATTTCACAATTATACACTTTAAGCAAAATAACTTCCTCTTGTTTTAAACCTCTTATGTAAAAGTTCCTCTGGTTCTTATATTTTGGGAAATCATAAATAATGCGTTTCTATTTACTTTTCTGCACCATGTAATATTTAATAGAACATCTCTCATATTCCCCCTCAAGTGTCTTTTTCTAAATGAAAAAAAATCCTAGACTATTTAGTTTCTCTTTTTATGGAAACCTCTCCATACCCCTGCTAATTCTTGTTGCCTTTCTTTGTATCTTTTTCTAGTTTTTGTACAAAAAAAGAAAAAGGTACCTTTTTCTAGTTTTTCTTTTGAGGTATGAGGACCAAAACTGTACACAGTATTCAAGCTATGGCTGCACCATAGATTTATAAAAGGGCATAACAGTACTTTTTATTTTGTTCATAATTTCCTTAATTACCAGTATTTTATTTTCCTTTCTGACTGCTGCTGAACATTGAGGTGATGTTTTTAGCAAACTGTCTACAATGATTCTAAGATCTCTTCCCAGTGCGGTAATAGTTAATGAACAGCCTGTTATTGTGCATGTATATTTTGGGTTACTCTTTCCATGTGCATCACTTTGCACTTATCAGCATTGAATTTCATTTGCCACTTTTTGCCCATGCACTCAATTTTGCAAGATCCATCTTTAGTTCTTCGTGCCCTGCATTGGTTTTCACCACTCCAAATAATTTTGTGGTGTCCACAAATTTGATCACCCCACTGTTCACTCCCTTTTCTGTGTCATTTATTAAAATACTAAGCAGCACCAATCCCAGCATATATCCCTGGGGGATTCCACTATTTCTACTTTCTGTTATGAAAACTGACCATTTATACCCTCTCTTGCTCACCTTTTTATCCATAAGCCAATTAAGAGGCTGCGAAATAGACACTTTTCTGGTAGGATGCCTGTAGCAGGGCACAATACGCTTTCTCCTTTGAGGAGCAAGTGGTTTGAGAGGCTGCATACAGGGGGCTAATGAGAGGCTCACCTGGCCAAGAGAGGGCTCAGGCTTGAGCTATATAAACCCAGAGCCTGAACTGGTCAGGCAGTCTCTCCCTGGCAGCCATGAAGTGAGGTGGTCCTGGCTTCAGAGCAGCCGGGCTCCTGAAGGGACTTGGATTTATGTCAACAGCTGTACAGGCCAGGGAACAGAGACAAGTCCCCTGGGCAAGAAAGAATGGGTTTTACAGTCAAGTGGCCTTTGTTGTATGTTAAAGCCAGAAAGGGTTTGAGGTGTCTGTCAGAGGCCTGAGATACTTCGTTTTTATTTAAGTGGTTTAGCCTTGAGCCCTGATGTGGCAGGTTCAAGGCCTACTTAGAGAACTGGTAACCCAGGAATTCCCAGGCTAATATTGGGGCCCAGGAACCTAGGGAAAGGCTGAACCCAGACCAGAGGGTCCACATGCCCAGGGGGGTCAAACTGGACTAGATGGTTTCCTGTGCCCAGAGAAGGGCTGAGAGCTGGACCATGGGGCCTGGGAGCCTAGAGGAGAGGCTACCCGTGGCACCAGGAGGCCAGAGGGAGACTGCATAAGGGACCAAGGGGTCAAGTGTATAAATAAGCAACATCAAAGATAGAGAACACCCACAAGGCTTTGGGGGTGGTGTAGGGAAGGAACAGAGCCATGCATGGAGCCTTTTAAGACTATGGGTGCCTTGGAGGTGCACAGATATGCAAGTAGCCCTTGAAGCTACAGGCACCCCGCAGGGGCACAGAAGAGCTGAGAAAGGCCCATTCAGCTTAAAGGTTGAAACAAGGCTATTGGGGGTCTGGGAGAAACCTGGTGGTGCTGCAAATAGACTAGGGCTCACTTTAAGGCCTGTGGGCAGCCTCCCTTATTCAACCTCTAGTAAGAACAAGGCACGGCAGGTGAGCAATCAAGGGAAGGCTGTAATAGAGACTGAGCCAGGCAGGAGTCACATGACTACCAGGGGTCATCACAGCCACCCCTCAGGCATGAACCTCCACAATGCCTATCTGCCTTTTTATGAGTCTGGCACATGACTTGTTTCAATGACTTGGTACTATTGCCTGAGCTACGTAAAGTTATTTTTATTGTAAATGAGTCTTCAAATTTATGCAAGAACAGTTATGGCTTTGGACACATTTTTGCAGGTAGGTATTTTTTGGTTATTAGTATTTGTTACTTTTTATCATATTTCATTATGAATACTCTAGGATACTAAGTGCTATACTACATTGTGCTGTAAACTGTGAAAAAAACAGAACAGAAGGATGCTTCCTTTCCTACAGAGCTCACAATTTAATACAAGCAACAGAAGGATACAGAGAAATAACAGGTGCAAAGTAGGAAACAATAGCACAATAAGCCATCATTATAACTGCTTTTCTAAAGCAGCATTATTCATCCATCTTTTCTTTTATTGATAGGTTATTCTGAGCAGTTCAAAGCTTATAGATAAATCCTTTTTATACACATTTGTACATCCATGGCTTGGCACAGGACTCCTGACAAGGTATGCAAATACAGACCTAATCCATTAAAGTTATGTATGATTTTACGTTAAGGTTTAAGATGGAATGTATGTTGATTGCCTTAAGAGTATAATAGATTATATCTTTTCTGAAAATAAGCAGTGTAATGTACTTCTGGATGGGAGGGGGGAATGAGGGGGAGGGGTTCTGTCTGGGGGTTGCCCAGCCTCCGCTGGAAGGTAGAGCAGGTGGATTGGAGCCTTGTGAGGTGAGGGTGCACCAATTCACCCATCCTCCACTCCAGTATCTGCTGGATAAACCCCAGAAGGGAACTCCTTCCCTACCTTCCCCCTTCCCAACCTGTAACAGCACTCTAGCTGGGAGAGCGGGGTGGGGGTAAGGGTAAGGGAAGAGGCTGCAGATATGCAGCCTCTTTTGCTAGATCAGCTCTAAAGTGGAGCTTGATCCTCCATCCTCCCAATCCAACAGTGAACATCTGCTGACATCTGCTGGGTTGGGAGGGTTGGGCTAACTCATGGCACTTTCTGTGAAGCGCCATGAGTTAGTTAGACTGGGATGCTGCAAGTCTGTTGGCACTCATGGTGAAAACCAATGGCTGGACAGGCTAATGAGTAACTGCTTTAGGTAGTTCTGGGGTTAGCTGGAAGATTTCTGCTCTAGAATCACTACATCTTGCATCTTACGTTATTGCAATTATATGTTGTATATGAAACACAACCCTGAAGGTAAAGAAACATCACAAAGGCAATAGAAAGTGACCATAAATTCCCAAAGAATAACCTGTAGTGTCATAATAGAGGGTGTGCCTGTCACTTTGGAGAGGTAAAAAACCCCCACAATTCTTGAATGGATCATGTTATGTAATAAATGTGAGCAGTACTTTATAAGACTGCCCTTGCAAACATAGAACTCCATTCTTTCTCCAAAACAGATTAACTGTTTCAACTTTTCAACCAAAAAAAATCAGTTAATTATAACTCCACAGACTAAAGTAGTATTTCCTCACAAATGACATTTGTATCCTCCTGGGTATATTTGTCATGTGTAGTTGTACTCATTTCTACACCCTTCAGTGGGAGCCAAAGACATTTAAAATGGATCCATTAGAATAGACCATCCCAAGACATATGACCATGGAAACTACCAGAAAGACTCCAAGTAATGCTTTTTTGTATATTGTGTCAGTGGGAGTTCATGTCCTGAATATGCCTGTACAGACTATGTTTCCTGTTTTTTGCTAATTGATAGGAAGATTTGGTTTTATCTGTCTAATCTGATGGGCGGTATAGTCCTAGGGTGAAGTTCCATGTTACCCTTATACCAGGGGTGGGCAATTATTTGGACCCGGGGCCACATAGGCAATTTTGGGGAGCTGTCACAGGCCGGTCAGCATGCCCCACATCCCCCCCACAACAGCCCAGAGCCCATGTGCCCTGTGACTCTTCCCCGCCACTGCCACTAGGACCCAGAAGCAGCTGAGCACATGGGTCCAGCCCCGGCATCCTCCGCATCCACTCCAGACTCACCCCGGCCAGAGCGGGCCATCTTTGGACCCTCCAGGACCTAGGTGTACTGCCCCAACCCTGTCCTATACCTACTGTGGACCACCTGCTCACTATGAGAAGCAGTGGCAGCTGGGCAAAAGCTGTTGCTGGGTACAAGAGAAAAGTGGCCATTCCCTGCTTGCTGCTGCTGGGTGCTTCTTGCTGCAACCACCCAGAGCCCATACTTGGGCTGCCCTGCAACTCCTCTCCACTGCCATCACTACCACCACTAGTGTCGCTTCTGGGCAGCCCAGCAGGGTAGTGGTGGCAATGGAGAGGAGCCACAGGGCAGCCTGGGTGTAGGCTCTGGGCAGCCTCAGCAAGAGAGGCCTGGCAGCAGTGAGGGGGGGAAGCACCCACCTTTTCTCTATGCCATGCAGCAACTCCTGTCCAGCTGCCACTGATGCCACCATCGCTCATTGTGGGCAGGTGGTCTGGAGCAGGCACGGGGCAAGCTGGGGTTAGGGCTGTGCACATAGGTCCCACCTGGTCCGCACTGGCTGCTGTGAGTCCAGAGTGGGTGCAGGGCTGGCTAAAGATGGGGCCGTGGCTGTGCACTTGGGTCCCTGCCAGTATCCATGGGGACGGGGCCAGTGGCAGCCAGAAGAAGCTGCTGTCTAGAACTGGAGTCCAGCTGTGGAGCTGCCCCAGTCCTGCTGTGTGCCTGAGGAGGGCGGGATGCGCCATGGGCCAGATGGCAGCTGGACCAGGTGGGACTGAGGGACCTGGCGCAGGCCAGACAAAGTCTCTCTGTGGGCCAGATCCAGTTTGCAGGCCACATTTTGCCCACCCCTGCCTCATACAAAGGGCACTTAAAATAATGAGCTTTCATATGTGGGTGCTTTTAACTCATGTTAAATGCTCTCTGAGTGTCTCGAAGTTATGCCACTTCAGGCAAGGTTGAATCCTGGGCTGTGCTACCTAGCTCATGTTAGGGTAACTTCAGGCTGCTCCATGGAGATAAAACAAGCAATTTGCAGCTCTCTAGCCTCCCAGGATGTACTGTTCCCCTTGTTTCCCCCACTTCTGCTCCATGAATGAACTTTTCACCCTCCCAAACTCTACCGTGCAGGAGGTGGTGCTGACCAGGAGCAGGTGGGGCCTTGCCAGTGTCATGTTGGGGATTGCAGTGGCAGGAGCATTTTGCTGGGAGGTAGAGAGGCATGAGCACTGTGACTTCCCTTTGCAGGCCCCTGTGTTCCTGTCCTGGGGTCAGGGATGGGGGGAGAGGGCAATGTTTCAGGAAGCCTTCCACCAACCTCTGCCAACCTGATCTCAGCCCCACTGGCCTTCCCAGAAGAGGGCCGTGCTTTTTACCTGCAGCTGAGCAGATGCTGCAGACAAGTTCAATTACCTTGGTTACTTGAGGCTAATTGAAATTTTCTCACGCTGCTAGTCCAGCGGTTCTCAACCTTTTGCACCTTACATCCCACATACTATTTTGTCAAAAAATCCTTGTCCTACCATGATAAAAACAAAACCCCACAAAATTGCACTGTTCAAGATACCTTTTGATTCATCTATTTGAAGTGCAAAAAACTGATTTTTTTTTCAATTGGGCAATGAGTTGAAGTCCCACTTACACAACCTTTGAGTCCCACCAGTAGGTCACGTCCCACTGGTTGAGAAACACTGGCCTAGTCCATTTTCCGCAAGTGCTACCAGCTCTCCCCTGCCCAGGCAGCTTACTAGGGCTGTGGCTTCCCACTGCACCCCACATTCCCATCCTGGGGTTGGGAAGGAGAGGGCTGTTCTACCAGTATGGACCTCCTGGGCTAGGGACAGACATTCAAACAGCTGGAGCCTGAATTGATTCAACCTTTGCAAGTTAATCTAACCTGCCTAGGCTTAACCGGTTTGTAACAGGACAAACATCTCTCTGGACTGAGGCCATTCTATCCGGCCCACGGGGCCCCTAAAAATTTAGAAAGTTAATATTTATATGGCCCTGGCTGCCTGTCATGTGGCCCTCGATGCCTGGCCAAAACTCAGTAAGCAGCCCTCTGCCCAAAATAATTGCCCACCCTGGTGTAACTTCACCCTTACTCCTCTAATATACTGTTTCATAAGTTGACTTATACTACTAACATTGCAAGCAAAATTTAGTTATTTCCATTAAAATCAGTCAGACATAGGTTGGTGCTACATTGAACTTAATGTGTCAATATGGCTGCACATGTGAACAGTATATGCCAACAAAAGCATTTGAAAGCACAAGTGTGTTTGGCTCTAATTATTGGCTTGGTTAATTGACACTGTAATTGGTTAGAGATTTCAGATGAATGCTTGCATCATACAATACTTAATGCAGACTCTTGTAGTTCGCAAATGTACCACTTCAGTTCCTGTGTGTAATGTAATTACTTACCTTGCATATATTTCATTTTTCATATGAAAGAGTCTATAAAAGGTGGCTAAATTTTATTTCCCATTTTACAGACTGGGAAACAGATGTACCAGTTGGTGAAGTAACTTCTCCAAGGCCGTATAACATGTAACTGGCAGAGTTGTGAACGAAACCCACTTTTCTTCACCCATCCTGCTGCTGGACCGTGCTGCATATTTGCAGATGTGCAGAATAGGCTTGATGTGTATCAAATGGCAGGATATAGTTAGCTTATTCTCAGCCTGAATTCATCTCAGCAGTGCACATGCTTCAACTACTGGCAGCTTTTTAAAGTTCAGCATTAAAAATCATGTTACTAGCTGTAGCTGTTGTTATGCCAGGAGTGTATATTCTCCTGGAAATGTTCTTGTTTCTTTTGTGAAATGCATTTGTCATACTTAATTTTCTTTGGTTTGTAGCACTGGAGATAAATGGCGGACCAGGAGAAAAATGATAACGCCCACCTTCCACTTCACAATCTTGACTGATTTTCTAGAAGTCATGAATGAACAAGCCAATATTTTGGTTGAGAAATTTAAAAAACATGTTGACAAAGAACCATTTGATTGCTTTCTAGACATTACTCTGTGTGCCCTGGATATAATCTGTGGTAAGTCCTTGGTGTGATTCAAGTACAGTTTGTAAAGCAAATCCCATGTTTATTTAGCATATGCTGTTTCAGTATATTGTTTCAGCCATTTTAAGGCTGTGTCCCAGTGTGAAGAGCTTGAAGGCCACTAGGTAGCGTTGTAAATGGACACAAGTTAACAATATGGGACATGGTTTGAACTTTTCCACAGGGGCATTTGCTGTCATTGCAAAGGCAGCATTGGTATGGGTCTGAGACACGGTGACTCTGTTCAGTTCAAAAATGGTTGAGAAGTGACCAATAATGGCGTGGGCAGTTAAATTTTGGTTGACTGACTGTAGGGTCAGAGATGATGTGGTGATTGATTGGTACTTGTGAGGACTATTCTTTATGCCAAGAAAAGTCAAAGGGTTTTGAAAGGGTGGACCATATTGGGTGTCCTGAGAGGAACCAAGCTATTGGTGGGTGGACTATGCCCCAGTGCACTGGCAGCTTAGGTCTGGCAAGTAAACTGACTTACTTGCCAGACATTAAACCTAGTTGGTCTGATGTTACCATCAAGTGTGAGTTTCACACTTGAAAAGTCATGATCTTGGGTGGCAAAGGCACAGTCATCAGCATAAACAAATTTTTGTTAGCTGGTCACAGGAAGTCTCGTTAATGTACAGGTTGAAAAGAAGAGACGCCAGTACTGATTTCTGAAGAGGCCATTGGTTTGAGGTCTCCAAGAGCTAGTTCAGTTGGCCAGGTAGACGCTAAAGCATCAACCACACAGTAATAGTTTGACTAGACAGGTGGCCCAATGAGGCGGAATTTCTGGTACTTTTGCAAGAAGACCAGTATGCTAGATAGTGTCATATGTTGCTGTTAAGGAAGACAACACCAATCTTCAGGTTTTTCTGAAAGCCATTTCCAATGAAGGTGGTTAAGGCTAGAACTTGATTGCAGGTGCTCCAGCCATGGCAAATCCTGCTTGATCTGGGCTTAGAGCAGAATTAGTTACTGGAAAAATATGTTGCTGAGCTAGTCTCTCAAGTGTCTTATAGCAAACACTTCAGAGGGAGACTGGTTGGTAAATTGTTGCTGATTGTAGGTCTTTGCCAGGCTTGCATAGGCCAGTGATCTTTGCTCAATCCAATGCTGATGGAATTTGTGGAATTTTCATATTATCTTAATTGAATGGGCTGATTTATGCATCCATATATTTATCTGACTAATCAATTATGTCTTATGAACCCTAAGTTCATGGGTGGCAAGTGGAAAAAGAGCCCAAAACAAGGGGGATCTAAAGGAAATGGAGTATTAGGATTAGGTTCAGAAGACCATACTTTCTAGAAAAGAAAGCCATACATAGAGAATATAAATGATTCCAATGCTTGCAGGCAATAGAGGGAAAAATTATTTGCAAGCTTTTGGGTCCAAATACCATTTATTAGGCTGAGGAAGCATCTGCAGATGGTATGTGCTCTTCCTAGATGGAGTAGTAAATCAGCCAGAGGTTAGTAGTGATATAAAAGATAGGTTAACTTGTTTAATTGAGTAAGTCATACGTTCAGTTCAAGCATGAGTAGTTTATAAGTTCATAAGTTTAAGTATTTTAAGTGTTTGTCTAACAAGTTGATTAGTAGACAATTTAACCCATGCATATGACTAAGATATGTAATACTAAATATAATCTTACGAAAATGTAAGTGCTAATACAGAAGACATCTATTCTGAGGCGTGACCCTGACCCAACTGGAAAGAGGAAGGCGCCCTCAACTGAAAAGGGGAAGATGCCCTTATGATGATGACAATCGCAAGAGATAATTATAACTAACAGAAAAATATGTAACGATGACTAACCTTATTATACCATATGTAAGACAAACATATAAATATAGAGGGTTCAACCCCTCTCGGGCATAGCTCTTGGCCCTTAAGGCGGGAGTCTACCCTTCTGTAGAAGCAATAAATTTTCTACTGGCACTCTTGTGTCTCTTGACTCATATTATCACGGCTAGTGCCCATGACGCAAGACCAAGCTGTCCTTTCCTGTTTGGGCAGCTAACTCAGGTTTTGCTGACAGTAGGTATGCAAGAAAGCCAGTCAGTTAAAATATAAATTGAGATTGTCAGTAGGTGAGAGAGACTTGGGGGAACCCTGTCTCTCATCCATTGACTACAGCTACATTCATTCCTCCCCCCCCTCCCCGCATCTCTGCAAAGAATAATTTTTCCAAGTATTTGAGTTGGTCTAATAAATGATAATGGATATTATCCAAATAATATTGTCTGCCTATGTTCTTAGACCAACACAGCTACAACCTACACCCCTGCAAGCAATAGATGAGTGTATGATGTCAGTTTACTTATGACTCCTCACATATATATCTTACTTTTTGCTTCTCCTAGAAACTGCAATGGGCAAGAATATTGGTGCACAGAACAATAAGGATTCAGAATATGTCCGTGCTGTTTACAAGTAAGTGTAGACCTTTTACATCTGCTTAATGGTTCTGTTTATATTAGGCTTGAGAATGCAAATGTCTGCAGTAGCACGTGATGACTTACAAAAGCAAAACTTACTTCTGTTGCAGATCTGGGCCTTTGCAAGAACACCCATTCCCTCCAGTAAAATACCCTTTGCTCTACTTTAAGCTCTGCCTTGCCCATTTGTGGGAATGAGCAAAGAAAGGTATAAGGGAGTTTATATGGAGGTAGAATGACAGTGCAGTAGAGCAGAGGTGTCATCCATATGCCTGTGGGCCAGATTTGGCCTTTGAAGCCCTTTCCCAGAGGGGCTGGGAATTTGAGGGTGGGGTGAGTGTGGTCAGGGCCTGCTGCTGAATTCTCAGCTACTGAGTCCCACTGGGGATGTATACTGGGGGTAGATGGTTGCATTAATACTCATGATACTGCTTGCCCTGCCACCGCAGCTGGATCCAGATCTGGCTTGGGAGGCACTCTGCAGTCCAGATCTGGCCTGCAAGGATCTCTATGATCTGTGTCTGGGCCTGCCGGTGCAGGTGACTGGGACACTCCTGCAGTAGTGGAATGTTTACACTCTACATGCACTATTAAGGTACATTAGGTTTACTATTCAGTAAGCGTGCCCTGGGAAGGCATCTACATGTGCAGCTTCTTGAGAACAGATTTGTTTCTCATGGGAGTAGGCTGATCCAGGCCTCTTCCTGCCCTGCTCTGCTGCCCTGCAGCAGCCAGGGGGAGCTGCAGACTCTGGCTGCAGCTGTCCAGGTGCAGGGGCACTTGTAAAAAAAGGCAGCCACATGCATTGTTCACTGGCCACATGCTTTTGTAGCCCGGAACAGTCTGCAGCCTGCTGGCACAGCCCTCTACGGTTAGTGTCTGCAGAGCCTGTGCCCAGCATGCAATGGCTGTTGCACACCCATGCCCTGGCACCGACAACCAGCACTACAGGATTCTGTTTTCTGTCATGCTCACGGGGCTTTGCAGCTGCAGTAACCACCACTTGGCCCAGGTCAGCCTCAACACTGTCTGCCCCCATGTGCCATGCAGCCACATAGCCAGGTACATGGCCCCATCTATGTTCTGCTGCCCCTGAGCTGTCACTTCCAGCCCCTGGACCCCCTCCTGGACCCCAGCGGGAATGCCAATGATACCCACATGGATGCCACCAGAGGTGCCATCCAAGAACTGGGGCTTCAGCCCCAGCACCTGTAGGCCTGCCTGGTGAGCCAGGACTGGTGGCTCTGCATCATCCAGCACACCTGGAATGATGAGCAATGGGTGGACTCCTTTCAGATGACCTGGACCACATTCCAGGAGCTAAACATCCAGCTTGCCCTGCACCTGGAGCAGCAACCCACCACCATGCAGCTGCCCCTCCCCATGGAGACCTGGGTGACCATCACCCTCCTCAAGCTTGCCATGCCTGCTAACCTCAGCTGTGTTGGACCTCTTCAGGGTGGGCAAGGTGACCACTGGGGAGGCTGTCTTGGAGGTCTGTGGTGCCCTCCAGGACATGCTCGGTCACACTGTGCTCTGAGTCAGTGACCCCCTTAAGGTCTTGGCAGGATTACAAGCCCTGAGCTTTCTGTAATGCATTAGGACTCTGGGTGGGACACCCATCCCTTTCAGCTGCCGACTGCAAGGGGAACCGCCCATACTACAGCTGGCAGGGCTTCTACTTAGTTATGCTTTAGGTTGTGGTGGACCACTGAGGTACGTTCACAAATATCAGTACCAGCTGGGCTGGCGGCACACATGGTGCCCCAGTCTTCCAGAACTCTGTTCTGCCAGGCCTGGTGGAGAATGGGAGCTTTGCAACAGGTGTCCTGGACCTGCAGGTGGGTGATGTGACTGTCCCACCCCTCCTCATCAGGGATCCTGCCGATCCACTGCTGCCATGGCTCCTGCAGACCTGCGCTAGCTAGCTTAACCCACCACAGGCTGGCTGTGCTGCCCATTCTCCCTCCTTGATCATAGGACCAAGGCCTGCACCGCACAGTGCAGGGTCTGTGGGCAGTGCTGGCCCTGCTGCAGGCAGCTCCCACTTAGGAGCTGCAGGGGGCAGCTTGGGGAGTGGAGGGGCCTGGCTACTGTAGGCAGTATCTTGGTCCAAGCCCACTGGAGGCTTAGCGCTGGGCCACAGGCAGCTGCTGGGTTTCAGGTGTAGCCAGTGCCAGGGGCTGTGTGATGGGAGGCAAAAAGGGCCAGGATGGTGTCTAGCACCTAGCAATCCTCCTCTGTGGCCTCCACACCCTGTGTCACC